CTCTCGGGAGCAGGTCCTGGCAGAGGAGAGGGAGTCACTGCCCCTTCCCGAGCTGCAATGAGTCTCCTACGCTCACAGCCTGAAGTGGTATAAACAAATGAGTTTTTCTGTCTACGAGCAAGGAACACACCCTCCTGCTGCAATTACTGCAGTTTATTCTTTCACTACCCAGCAGCCAGGACCCAGGAGGCGCCACAAAACCCGAGGCGGGATTGCGGGCAGCGCAATGAGGCCCCACCTCCTTCCGAACCGGGACTGCGCGTGCGCATCTCAAGCCTGACTGGGTGGACATTCCCTCCGACCCCTTCGGAATTTAAAGGGCCCGTTGCCTTCCCGAAGTTGGTTTGAGGCAAGGGCTTGTTGGTGTTGACAGCACTTTGTCATGGGACCGGTACGGTTGGGAATGCTGCTTTTCATTTTGGTTGTGTACGGCGCTTGGGTTGGGACGTCGAAGGAGGACGATGACACAGAACGCTTGCCCAGCAAATGCGAAGGTATCTAAAGGGAATGGCTCCTATTTGCCTCTCTGCCCATCTCTTTAGTCTGGGCCGGACCAAATGGACCATGATGGGTGGGTCGCTCGATCTCCTTTTAGACCTGAGGGAGATTCTGGTGGAGCCTGGCGGAATTCGAAGGGGGGGGGGGGAGGAAAGGAGCAACAGAGCGCTATCCCACAACTGTGGCACTACAATTCCCATGAGACATCCAGAGGAAGTACGCTTTTTTCTTGCTAGCGTAGCCCCAAGCGATCTGTGGGAATTGTAGTTGAGAGACTCTGTGCTCCGGATTACCCACTCTACTGAGCATCTTAAGTGTGTTTCCCCCATGACACTAAACTTAAATCTGGGGAGCCTGCAGGACGGGGGTGTGAGGCTCATACCTGTGGATATCCTCTGCTCCACCCATGCAGCGACGCTCTCAAATTACAGGCCCCACGCTCTCCTGGGGAGGGCTTGGGGATACGTGAATAAGCCCCTGAAGCTCATAAAGAGGCGGCCACATAAGTGGAGGAGGTTCCCCTTACGTTTGAGGCTTTGCAGAGGGTGTGTACTTTTGGATTTTACTGTGAGCAGCATCTTCTGTGGCTGCATGAGGGCGGTGATGGGGCAGGGGGGCAGCTGAGAAGAAACACCTCAGAGTTGGGCCACTGAGTGCCCTGGCTCCCTAGTGTGTTGGTTTCCTGACTTTAATTCTTCCCTGGATTCTTCTTCCCTTCACCCTGCTCCACCCGCATGACCTGAGCCTAACTTCACCTCTCCTCCTGTCACTACTTCTATAGGCCCAGTCCTGTCAGTCTTCTCTGTAACACCTCTGCAGGCCTCCCACTGTGGTTAGAATACACCCATTTTTTGGCACAGCATCTAAGTCTCTTTGTTGTATGGCGTCCACCTCTCTCACATTTCCGTACCTCAGCTCCCATCCTCCACGTGCGCATCCGTCAGCCACACTGAACTCAGCTATCACTGAGCCTGCCTTATCCTCTTGCACCTCATTACCTTAGTACACTGTTTTTCCCTGTGCCTGGAAAAACCCTCTCCCTTCTGTATTTGGTTCTTAAAGACTTAGTTGAGATGTCAATTTCTTTGGAAGCCTTCTTCCTTTGTCACCTCCCACTATATTGTAAGCCCTTGGAGGGAAGGAGTACCTGTGTGTCTGAAGTCCTCGCATAGTGCCTGGAACATTTTAGGCACTTTTGTTACTTGCTCTGGGTTTACTTTGCTTGGCACTTCTGTATAGGCCATTCCCTTTCCTGGGACCCACCTCAGGGCAGGGCAGGTGCTAGTTGCTGGAAGACAGTGGTGGAACATATGCAATGCTCATCCTTAAGGGAATCACAAGCTAGCAGGAAGTCAAATGACCATTGAATGAATTTTGCATTTCCTAAAGAGATTAAATCTCTATTAACCTCTAGCATAGAGCCCATCATACCACATTGTCATCATTTTTTATCTGTCCCCAACTACATCAGCAATGCCCCATGAATAGGAATTATGGGCCTTATTGGTCTCGTGTATATAGGAGCTCAATACATAACTGCAGAATAAAAGCAAACACTTACACAGTGTTCACTATATGCTAGGTACTATTCGAGGGGCTTTACATTGGTTGATTTACTTAATCCTCACCACACCCCTACAAAAGAGGTTCTACTACATTGTTATCTCCATTTTAGAGATGAAGAAACCAAGGCACAGCAGAATTGCCCCATAGCTATTAAGTGGCTGAGTCAGGGGATTCTAACCTAGCCAGTCAGGCTCTGGTCTGCACTTGTAACCATTAGGCTCTGCTGCTTTTGCTCATCTACAGAATGAGTTGCTGGAATATTTGTTTGTCTTTCACATCCTTTTGGACATGTAGTGTGTAAGCTGCTGAGCCTGGAGCTACAGGAAGAGCTGAGTCGCACTGGCCGATCTCGAGAAGTGCTGGAACTGGGGCAGGTGCTAGACACAGGCAAGAGAAAGAGACACGTCCCTTACAGTGTTTCGTGAGTTCTTGGTGCTCCTCTACCTTCCAACCCCTAGGGGAGCCCTGGGAGCTCCTACAGCATCCAAGAAATCTTTGTTTCCCCTCCTCCCACAGAGAGACAAGGCTGGAAGAGGCCTTGGAGAATTTGTGTGAGAGGATCCTGGATTACAGTGTTCATGCTGAGCGCAAGGGTTCACTGAGATATGCCAAGGTCAGACTTTTCCCTAGAGCAGCCTTCCCCTTTACAGAAATGACAGGGGTCCCTGGGACCCATCTCCCTCCAGTTCTGGAGTGTGTCCCCTCTCCATTGTTAGACTCCCTCATGTCACCCTCATGGAGCCCACCTCTCAGTCCCTGGTAGTTGACAGTGCTGCTGTGGCAGAAAGGGGAAGGGGGGTGGGTGGGGCAGTGAGCTGGGCTGATCCCAAATTCCTGTCTCTCAGGGTCAGAGTCAGACCATGGCAACACTGAAAGGTCTGGTGCAGAAGGGGGTGAAGGTGGATCTGGGGATCCCTCTGGAGCTGTGGGATGAGCCCAGTGTGGAAGTCACGTTCCTCAAGAAGCAGGTAGGATTGGATATTGCACTGCCCAGGGCAATGAGAAAGGAACCTGATGGGAGACCTAGATTCTTGGGAGGTCCACCTGAGCACAGAGAAGGGGGCGGAGTGAGGACCCTGTCATTGACTGAGCATTATTACAGGAGTAATAATGGAGGCTAATAATATCTATGACCACATACTGAGCACCTACTATGTGCCAGACTTGGGCCACATACTTTCCAGCTGCTGCCTCATTTTACCCTCAAAACAACCTCATGTGGTAGGTACTGTTACCATTTCCCATTTTTTAGGCAAGGGGCCGAGACACAGAGTTTAATAGCCTACTTGGCAGAACAGGTTCTAGTAAATGTTTGTTGAATGAGTAAGGATCACACATCTAGTAAGCCAAGTTTAGTCTCCTGGCTACCTGCTTCTCCAAGGTGGAGTGGGCAGACAGGAGTGAAGAGGGGAGGGTTTCCAAAGCCCAGCAGTCTAGATTCCCTTCTGACACTTCCACTTGATCAGTGTGAGACGATGCTGGAGGAGTTCGAAGATGTCGTAGGAGACTGGTACTTCCACCATCAGGAACAGCCCCTACAGCATTTTCTCTGCGAAGGTCATGTGCTCCCCCGTGCTGAAACTGGTAAGTGTGTGGGGCTGGCCCACTACCTGCCAGGCCACAACCTCCTCTACCTCCCAGAGTAATATCTAAATCGGTTTTTTGTTTGTTTGTTTTGTTTTGTTTTTTCATCTGTTATCACTTTATTTCAACTATTTGTCAACAGTAACACTGATATAGGACAGCCCCGGTGGCGCAGCGGTTTAGCGCCGCCTGCAGCCCAGGGTATGATCCTGGAGACCCAGGATCGAGTCCCACATCAGGCTCCCTGCATGGTGCCTGCTTCTCCCTCCGCCTGTGTCTCTGCCTCTCTCTCTCTAGCTGTGTCTCTATGAATAAATAAATAAAATCTTTATAAAAAAAAACAAAAAAAAACACTGATATAGTTTGCAAATACACAAGACTGAATCGGTTTTTATCACCCAACCTAGCGTGTCTACAGGAAACTTGGACTGGAAAGGAAAAGATCACGGATGGGCAAGAGAAAACAGAAGGGGAAGAGCAAGATCAGGAGGAGGAGGAAGAGGAAGAGATGATCAACACCCCAGGGCACTCCAAGCATGACCCAGAGGATCTTTGACCATTGCCTTTGAGTCCCCAGGAAGAGCAGGAATCATGGAGAAGAGCCTTCTGAAATCTAAGGTCCCCCTGCTCCACATAAGGGCATATGTGTATGTGTGCGTAATCCCACCCCAGAGCTTATAGCTGTTCTCTCCTGTCTGGTCTCAGGCAGGATCCTGGTGGTGCAGCATGGCACAGCTATGGCAACAAAGGAAGGAGCAGTAGGTGGAAGGCCTGCTCCAACAGATGAGTCCTCTGCCTGCCATCTAGCCCCTTAAGTGTCAGGTGTGTGTGATGACGGCATTGAAGGCTTTCCCCTTTAAATCTCTCTAGGACTCCCCACCCCACCAAAGGTCAGTGAAGGCACTGGAGCTGAGGGTCTTGGGAGTCACTTTGCTCTCGGGGTCTGTTTTTTTAGACCTTAAAAACTCCAGCATGGACATTCATTCTCTCCGACCTATGCACACTGCCTGCGTCTAGGAGGCTACAAGCCAACAAACCGGCGAAGGGGACACTAATGAGGAGCGATGTTAAGTTAGGTGGGGGTAGATATCTATCTACTTAATACCGATTTCACCGAGGGCCCACCATGTAATTTCACAGGTGCCAAATTTTCTAATCGCTAGTAAAAATATTTTTAAATATCAGCTGGGCCCGTAGTTTCAAACAGCTGCCCTGCACACGTCATACCTGGCCGATGTAGCAGCGCCCAGAGAATAGGGCCGTTGGGCGCCGGCTGTTAGAAGCTAATGGTGCTTTGTAGTTTGCAGTCCAGGGAGGCTGGCAGGGGCTGGCGGGGGGGTGGGGAGGGCCGATAACTATTTAGGCGCGGGTCTGTGCAACCCCCCTCGACTCGTGCGGGAGAACGCACCGGAATTAAATAGCAGCGTGCGGCAGCGCCTCTCGGCCACCATACTTCGGGCTTACGGGAGCTCGCAGAGGACAAGATCTCGCGCGCGCTTTTCCGAGGGCCGATCTTCCCTTGGAGTGCGGCAAGGATTAGGAGTAGCGACGAGGCGACGTCCAAGGCCTGGGTCAGGTGAGGGAAATAAAGAGGCTGCCCTTTGGGGGATGATGGGTGAGGACCTACCGCACGAAAAGTGTGGCGACGGCCGAAGACACCGAGGGACTGGCGGGTTCACGCTGAGGGGAAACTACGGAAGGGGGATACCATCCAAGGGTGCGAGGGGGGTGGCAGAGAACCGACTTGGAAGGTGGGGCGCCTGTGGGAACCCCAAGGCCCTGGACGGTCACCCACAGCCCCACTTCCCTTTTCCAGCTGTCCCGATCCTGCCATGAGCGGTCTAGTGCGGACCGAGCCGCTGCGCGGGGAGCCGCCCCTGCTGGTGCGCGGCGACCCCTACTCCGTGGTGGTCCTGCTGCAGGGCTACGCGGAGCCGGAGGGGGTAGACGACGCGGTCCGGGCGGACGGCTCCGTGACGCTCGTGCTGCCTCAGGCCTGGGGCTCAGCCTCCAGCCACCGAGAGGCCGCGCCCGAGGGCGCTGGGGCGAAAACCGCCCTGGAGGAGGCGGCCCGTGGGCCCATCCTCGTGGACACTGGGGGCCCCTGGGCTCGGGAGGCGCTCCTGGGGGCCCTGGCGGGGCAGGGCGTGGCCCCCGGAGACGTGACTCTCGTGGTGGGCACCCACGGACACTCGGATCACATCGGGAACCTGGGGCTTTTTCCCACGGCGGCTCTGCTGGTCTCGCACGACTTCTGCCTCCCGGGGGGCCGCTACCTCCCCTATGGGCTGGGTGAGGAGCTGCCCCTGCGCCTGGGCCCGGGGCTCGAGGTGTGGGCCACGCCGGGCCATGGGGGCCAGCGGGACGTGAGTGTGGTGGTGGCGGGCACGGCCCTGGGCACCGTGGTGGTGGCGGGCGATGTGTTTGAACGCAGTGGAGACGAAGACTCATGGCAAGCGCTGAGCGAAGACCCGGTGGCCCAGGATCGCAGCCGTAAGAGGGTCCTAGGCATTGCGGACGTGGTCGTGCCTGGTCACGGAGCCCCCTTTAGGGTGATCAGGGAAGCCCCTCAGCCAAGGAACTGACGTCCAGAAGACCAGAGGACCCAGTGAGAGCGCGCCAGAGGAGTCCGGGGTGATCCCTTCCAGCCCTCGCAAGAGGCGGGTTCCTAGCGAGAACAGTCATGGATATCACTGGTTTTGCAGCCAAATGAGGACCAAGGACTGGCTCAACTGTGTGCCACCTCTTGGGGCCTCCATAAAATGGAAGAATGTTCTTGAGGGGGTTATCCAAAATAAAAATAGGAAGCTGCGTGGAAAATCATGCAGCCCCAATGTAAATGTGCATCGTTAGTAGTAATAATCATGCAAATTTGGTAGTTAGCAACTGCAATGGGGGGGGGCACTTTGGCCAATTGCTTATTTCTCCTAAGAGGAAGGCTTGCTGCAAGTAGGTGCAGGGCATAGAAATAACACCTTAGTCATTTGACTTTCATCCATCTCTTCATTCAAGGAATATTTAACACATAGCAGCTGTGATTCAAGCGTTGTTCCAGGTCATGGGGACAGAACAGCGAGCAAGCTAGACAAACTCCCTGTTCCTTATGAGATTACGTTCTACAGAGACAGAAAGACAAGTAGTAATAGTAAATAATTAGAGATTGTGTTTAGTGATATGAAAGAAGAGGGCAAGAAGGGCATAGAGTGCAGGAATGGGATGATGGCCTCTTTTATTTAAGGCAGTCAGGAAAAACCTCTGAGGAGATGATGTTTGATCAGGGAGCCAAAGGAGAAGAAAGCCAACTATGATGATCTAGCAGATGTGCCAAGGCACAGGAACAGCAGGTATAAAGGTCCTGAGGCAGGACAGCTTGACCTGGTTGAGCAGCAAGAAGAGCTGGGGGTTGGACTGCAGAATGCCAGAGAAGAAGGACAACAAATGGGGATGCAGAGTTTGGCCGGGCCATCATGGACTATAGTTAGGGGTTTGGATTTATACTGAGAAGGTTTTGGCTTTTAAACAGACTAATGACTTGGTCTCATTTATGTTTTAAAGTAACTACTCTTGTTCTGTGTGGAGAAGAGATCAGAATGGGGCAAGAATAGAATCAGCTGGACTGGTTAGGAAACTTGGGATTTTCCAGGCAAGAGAAATCAGTGGCACCTGGTTTAGTCCTAGAAATCCTATTATGGCTCTGGTCCTCTTCACAACTGTGTCCCAGGCCTTCCATCCACACAGTTCTGGGACCCATAGAAGCACTCAGGTGGGCCAGATGAAGGAGAGGAGCAAGTCTTCCTTGTTGCAGATGATGAGCCTCCCTGAGTGGATGCCACAGGGCAGCGCTGGCTGGGGATTATTTCCTAAGTGTCCACAAAGCCCAGGTGGAGGTCACCAAAGGCAGCCCAATGGAGCCGTTTCCCCCAGAGTGAACAAGTAGCTGCCATACACAGACTTGTAGTTGGTATTGGCCATGTTGACCACAGAGTGCAGAGTTCCCAGGCCAACAGTGCAGCCACAGCTGCCCAGATCCCTGCCAGTCACCAGATAAGGACAAATGGAGTGAAGGTGGCAATGTGGGCACCCAGCCTCAGAGCTAGCTTGGTGTGGAGGTCTTTGGCCAGGTTTTCCAGCTTCTGGGCCACGGAGTGCAGGGAATCCACTGGTGTGTGGAGGGAGTTTAGGGGCCAGCTATGTGCCCACTAATGCAGCATTGTGCCCTGAATGGTCTCCATGGTCATCAGGGTCCCTGTCTGATATGTGGAGCGAAGATCCAATAGCTTCAGGGCTGTAGGGAGAAGGAAGGAGCAGATGGGGTTATTAAGAACTATGTACTTTCAACTCGTATGAATAAAAAGTCCAGTCCTGACTTACTTTCCAGAACATGACCCTCTGCCCATGACTCAGATCTGCTCATCTAGAGCAACACATCTCTGGCCACACTGATTGTCTACAGGATGGACAGGTCACCTAAACTAATCCAGGCTTGGCCAATCTTCAGGGTTTTGCTGGAGCTGATGGAAAAAAGTCTAGTTCTTTCCTGAAAAACTGACATGGAGATGAATGGAAGTGTTGAGTCACTATATTTACATATATCACCATGTCTACACCTGCAACCAATACTACACTGTGTATGTTACTTAACTGTAATTTAAATATAAACTTAAAAAACTGACGTGAGGGCGGCCCCGGGTGGCCCAGCGGTTTAGCTCTCGCCTTTGGCCCAGGGCGTGGTCCTGGAGACCCCAGTCCCATTTCGGGCTCCCTGCATGGAGCCTGCTTCTCCCTCTGCCGTGTCTCTCCCTGCCTCTCTCTCTCTCTCTGTGTGTGTCTCTCATGAATAAATAAATAAAATCTTAAAAAAAAAAAAAAACCTGACGTGAGAGGATAGGTTATATGCCACCTTGTGAGAAGAGCCGATGGGCGCTGGGGCCAAGCGGGAGGCTGAGGCTAAGGCTGACCAGTAGGAAGCAGAAAAGAGCAGTTAAGAGAAACAGACCCCATGGCAGACAAGTTTGAGCTAGGAAAACCAGATCCACCCCTGCATACCTCAGTCACCTAATCACCCCCTTTGCTTCTGAGCTACTCTGCATTTCCAGTCCCAACAAGAGGAGTCCTGGGTGGATACAAACACTGGTGGAAATGACTCCTTATGAGGCGGCAGGAACCCAGGGAAAGCAGTGTTAAAGGGTGGGCACAGAGTGATTGTACTCTTTAGAAAAGTGTCTCAGCTTCCCTTTTGTGTAAACTCTTGGGAAAACCTGACCCCTATGATTAGATACTTCTACTCACAAATATTCAGGGGCTCCATCCACACTACCTGCAGAATAACCCAAACTTTCTCTCCCAGCCCTGTCTAAGATAAACTCTGCTCCAGGTTGGCTGGACTGCCTGCTGCCAGCCCAACTCATGGCCTCCTCCCTCTCCCCGTCCTCCTCTTCATCACCCCCCTTTGATCCTGCTCTCCTCCCTCTTCTGTAGGGTCCCAACCATTCAGGCTCAACTCAGCTCATCTCCCACAGAAAAAACTTTGAATTTTCCAGCCCTACTTTAAACTCTTGTAATGCGTTCTCTGTTATTCACTTAGCATTAGATATGGCTGGTGTTGGTGATCTCTTTGGAAATGTCCTCTTCCCACTGTGCCCTTTGAGAGAGCAGGAAGTAAGAAAAAATGCTTATCTGAATGCTCCAGAGCTTGGTGTTTTGTCTGTAAATGCCATGTGATAAATGCATGCTATTTTCTGATTTTTCTGGGCATCTGTTATCTGTGACCCAGCTCTGACTTCTTGCCCAGGACTTCAGTGTCTGTCCCTGCTCTTCCGCTGGAGAGGCTCCAGTGTCTCGTCCAAACTGCAAACACAGGGGTACCACTCAGAGACTCCCCTGTTCCCCTTTTCCTATAAGAGGCTCTGGGTGTCTTGTCAGAGGGCTTTGGGGCCGGGATCCCAGGGTGGTATGAGAGTTGATGGATCAAAGCTGTAGAAGGGAGAAAAACTTAATACTAAGTAACAAGCTCCCCAAAGCAAAGCCTCAGTAACCAGCTTGTCTGAGGACAAAGAAGCTAGGATGGCACCAAAGGGCCTGACCCCACCAGCTCATCTTGCGGTTTGTCCTGTGATGGGGACAGAAGGCTGGAAGTGTCCTCAGGAAGCTGGAAGTGTCCCTCCTGACGATGAAGCCTTCAGTGACCTGGATCTGGAGCAAATCCTGGAAGATGTTGGAAAAGAGCCAGAGCAGCTGGAGGAGCCACAGTGTGGAGACGACCCCAGGGAGTTCACTTTGGCCTTCTTCGAGGAATAGCTTAGCTGTGTGCTCCTGCCTCCCTGCTGCTCTCTCACCCCCTTCCCTGTGAGCATCAGAGAAAGCCCCTCGGAGGGTCCCTGAGAAGCTGCTACATGTGGGGTTTGTTGATCGGCCACAGTCACAGCTGTGCAGGTTTATGTGTTAATAAACAGGTTACTGCTTTAAGTAGTTTGTCTCTAACTACATGCTCTCCTTTGGCTTCCCTCCCTCTGCTCCGCGCATCCCAGGATGTGGCGCATCCCTGTTTCTGTGGGAGGCCTGCACAGTATAGGAATCTGGGAAGGCAGGGACACCCGAGTTCGGGGAGGAGGCTGTCAAGATGGGCAGGTCTGGGTTCAGACCCGGGCTCAGCCTTAATAGGTGTGTGGCTTTGAGAAAAGCACAAACTTATAGATCTCTTCACGCCTCAGGTGATTGTGACCAGTCCAGGGTCAGGTGGTTGGAGATGCTTAAATGAGGTGGTGCACTTCACACGGTACATGCTGGTTCTGATGGTAGGGGAAGTAGAATGGGTAGTTGGGGGGGCAGACCCTGGCTTCTGGGCTGGTTACTAGCATTTGGGGTTTATTGTTCCCTGCCTGGAGGCAGTCACGGAACTCCAGTGCTGGAGGAGGGATCTGGGGTGGGAGCTGTTTATTATAGTTCATTTTTGGCAAGAGGCAAAAGACAGAAGTTGAAGGTGCTATCAGTTTTTTCCTTAGATGCTTTTGGGCAAATTCAACAGGTACTTTTATTCTTGTGGGCAGGGCTGGGAAGGTGGAGAGGGCACTGGAGCAGATGGCTCTGTTTCTCTGCAGTCCTTGGTGGCCTTCCACACCCCCTGACTTCTGAGTCTTCTGTGTCTGGCCAGAGTTGTTATCAGAAGCTGTGACCCGCTCTGCAGCTTAGTCTAAGGAGGTCATCCTTCAATCCCACCCATTAGGCCTTTAGGATAGAGTATAGGGTCTCCTCCTGGGGGCTCTTCTTGGGAAGGGTGGGATGTGCTGCTGGTGAGGAGGAACTGGAGAGGGTAAGGGAGGCATAGAGGATGCCGCCGTTATCCTGGGCTTCATCCTGCTGGAGAAGGCAGAAGGGGGTGAGACAGTGGAAGGGAAGCTGCCCCCACCTTAGGGAGTAATCCCACGCCTAGGTGCTGCACACCTAAGTGACCACAGTCCCTCTCTTCCCTCCATCCCACCTTCTCCAAACTTCTCTAGATTCCTTAAAGCTCTAGCTTGAGCTACTTACCTTGGGGTCCAGTTTGGGGGGGTCTTTGTTTTCCAAGAAAAAAATCAAGGCACATGGGCGTCAGGTGGTGTGGTGGCCAAGGTAGAGAAATGGGCAGAGGCCTCCAGCAGTGAGGTCATCTGCTGAGTCAGGACCAGGGTCAGGCAGGAGGGATGGGTGGGGCACGTGTTTGAGCAGGGAGTGTATGGGGAAGGACAGGCCAAGATAGACAGAGAGTGATGGTTTTAAGAACTTACTTTAAATCCCAATGTTCTCATACTTCTCCTCAGTATTTTGGAGGGATCCCCTGTATAGGAAGAAGAAGGTGGGAAGTGTGTTAAGAGGCTGTGCAGAAGAGAGTTCAAACCTGTGTGGGGCTGGTTCTCTGTGTGGGGCCTCTGTGACCCCCTGACAGTCTCAGATGAGCTACGGTTTGAGACTCTCAGGACGTCTCCTGGAAGGTTGAGAGACAGTTTGCAGTGTAGCCAGTAGAGATCTCGAGGGCCCATTGAAGGCAGATGATCCTGGAGAAGCAGCCTTCTTGGAAGAGCCATGGAAAGGGTGAAGTCCTGTCTGCTGCATGGTATTGGTACAGACTGGAGAATGAACACCAGCTCCACCCATATCAGGTCTTCTGGTGGGTTCCCAGGTGAGAAGGGGGGGGGGAGTTGGAGAGAAGGAAAGAAGTTGAGATGGACTGGAGAGAAGGGGAGGTGGGAGGGTAAAGAGGAAGAAACCTCCAGAGAGAGGGAGGGAAGGAGGGAGGCCAGGAGCTGAGAAACAAACAATCCAATCATGAAATGGGCAAAAGACATGAAGAGAAATCTCACAGAGGAAGACATAGACATGGCCAACACGCACATGAGAAAATGCTCTACATCACTTGCCATTAGGGAAATACAAATCAAAATCACAATGAGATACCATCTCACACCAGTGAGAATGGGGAACATTAACAAGGCAGGAAACCACAAATGTTGGAGAGGATGTGGAGAAAGGGGAACCCTCTTGCACTGTTGGTGGGAATGTGAACTGGTGCAGCCACTCTGGAAAACTGTGTGGAGGTTCCTCAAAGAGTTAAAAATAGACCTGCCCTACGACCCAGCAATTGCACTGTTGGGGATTTACCCTAAAGATTCAGATGCAATGAAACGCCGGGACACCTGCACCCCGATGTTTCTAGCAGCAATGTCCACAATAGCCAAACTGTGGAAGGAGCCTCGGTGTCCATCGAAAGATGAATGGATAAAGAAGACGTGGTTTATGTATACAATGGAATATTCCTCAGCCATTAGAAACGACAAATACCCACCATTTGCTTCGACGTGGATGGAACTGGAGGGTATTATGTTGAGTGAAGTAAGTCAATCGGAGAAGGACAAACAGTGTATGTTCTCATTCATTTGGGGAATATAAATAATAGTGAAAGGGAATATAAGGGAAGGGAGAAGAAATGTGTGGGAAATATCAGAAAGGGACACAGAACATAAAGACTCCTAACTCTGGGAAACGAACTAGGGGTGATGGAAGGGGAGGAGGGCCGGGGGTGGGGATGAATGGGTGACGGGCACTGAGGGGGGGGCACTTGAGGGGATGAGCACTGGGTGTTATGCTGTATGTTGGCAAAGTGAACACCAATAAAAATAAATTTATTATAAAAAATACTAAATACGATATGAAATAAAAGATATTAGACAAAAAAAAAATAGATCTGCCCTATGACCCAGCAATTGCACTGCTGGGGATTTACCCCAAAGATACAGATTCAATGAAACGCCGGGACACCTGCACCCCAATGTTTATAGCAGCAATGTCCACAATAGCCAAACTGTGGAAGGAGCCTCGGTGTCCATCGAAAGATGAATGGATAAAGAAGATGTGGTTTGGGATCCCTGGGTGGCACAGCGGTTTGGCGCCTGCCTTTGGCCCAGGGCACGATCCTGGAGACCCGGGATCGAATCCCACATCGGGCTCCCAGTGCATGGAGCCTGCTTCTCCCTCTGCCTGTGTCTCTGCCTCTCTCTCTCTCTCTCTCTCATAAATAAATAAATAAAAATAAAAAAAGAAGTTGTGGTTTATGTATACAATGGAATATTCCTCAGCCATTAGAAACGACAAATACCCACCATTTGCTTCGACGTGGATGGAACTGGAGGGTATTATGCTGAGTGAAGTAAGTCAATTGAGAAGGACAAACATTATATGGTCTCATTCATTTGGGGAATGTAAAAAATAGTGAAAGGGAATAAAGGGGAAGGGAGAAAAAATGAGTGGGAAATATCAGAAAGGGAGACGGAACGTGAAAGACTCCTAACTCTGGGAAATGAACTAGGGGTGGTGGAAGGGGAGGTAGGCGGGGGGGTGGGGGTGACTGGGTGACAGGCACTGAGGTGTGGGCACTTGACGGGATGATCACTGGGTGTTATTCTATATGTTGGCAAATTGAACACCAATAAAAAATAAATTTATATAAAAAATAAAGTATATGTAAAAAAAAAAAAGACGCCCACTGGGAAAGGAGGAGGAGAGCAGTGACAGGTACCCTGTGCTTTTCCCATGAGGAACTTCCTGTTTCCCAAGCAGGACAAGCTCTCACCTGGCTACGGTTCTGGCTGTAGTCTGTAGACCTGTAGAGGAACAGCAGCGTGTCAGGGTGCCATCCATGGAGGGCGTCTCTCCTCCCTGCCTTCCTGCTCTGTGTGCTCTGAGACCAACCCCTAGACCAACCCCGAGAGAGACCAGGGCAGTGGAGCAGCTCTGTTGGACCCACCTGGGACTCAGAGTGACACCTGCTGGCACCCTGAGGCTGCTCAACCCTGTCCTCTGGTGTCCTCAACACCAAATCAGGAGAACAGCTCTTGCCTGCACCTATTTTCTGTCTCTGTCTGCCTGTCTGTCTTTCTCTTTGTTGACTTTTCCCTTTGCTTCCTTCCCCCTTCCTTGACTTCCCCAAGCATCCCTCAACCTTGCTCCTTCCACTGCTGAGGCCTTGCCCACCGATCCCTCTCCTTCCACCCTTGTCTCAGACTCACTGAACCCTCCTGCCCTGACACACTGGCTTTTTGTGATTTCCTGAGCGGCAGCTGTTTCTCTCCTGCTTTGTGAACCTCATGGCTGGGACCTGGGTCTGCACCGTAGCCTGTTCCTCCCCACCCTCCCCCACTGAATCCCACCAGTCTCCCCACTGCCCTCTCCCCTCTTCATCCTCCTGTGTCTCTCTGCAGCATTTCCCAAGGACTGGCCCCTGGTTCACAGACATCCCCTCCACCACCCACCACCATCCCAGGAGGTCCTATCATCCACGGAGACAACCCTCTGAACACATGGGACTCTATGTCCCCCAAACTCCAGGGACTTCCACTCTGCCATACCCTGTTTTTTTTTTTTTTTTTTTTTAACCTCTGGGACTGAGAACTCTGAAAGATTAAATGCCAGCATCATCTTTATGCTACAACTTTGTTTCCTTCCAGCTTTTTCTTACCATCATCCTGCTTGCTATACCTGTGCTTTGACTCCCTGCCCCTGAACTCTTGCCCCTTAATAAGCCACTTTCTTTCAGACTATCCAAGCTCCCTGCTGACTCTCTACTGTCCACTTCTGCCCTCTTACTAGCTCCTTGACCTTCCATGTTCCCCTGTCCTTAGGCCACACTTAGCTGACACATCTCTAATTCTGGATGTGGCCTATGGCAGGGAATGCCATTTGCTTACCCAATATCCATTCATTTCTTCTTCCTTAGTTAGAGAACCTTGAGTTTGTTTTGGGTGGCAGTGTGCTCCCCTGCTGATAGATGTGGACATCTGATGACATCCTAGCCAATAGGATTCAAGGGGAAGTAGTGGGTAGGATTTTCAGGAAGATTCTTTAAAAGGAAGACAGACAGATGCAGCATGGTTTTTTGTCTCTTCTTCCTCCCTCCTGTTTCCTGCCTGGATTCAGAAATAATGGCTGGAGTCTGAGCAGCCATCTTGGACCAGGAGGCAACCTTCAGGATAGAAGCCAGTAGTCAGGGCAGTGAGGAGGATGATAGAAGCTGGAGTGCCTGAGGACAGTGGCCTCTGCTGTCTGCCTCCTCATCCTTTTATATGAGGGGAAACAAGAAACTCTGTCTTGTTCAAGCTCTGTTACTTTTAGCCTCTGACACCAGCAGGTGAACATAACTTCTAACCAACAGATTCTAGAAGTTTCTAAAGCTGCATGGTTGAATACTGCTGGGGGAAATATGATCCTGTGCAGCGATGCTTTTACAGAGTTCTTAAATTCCACCTTCCATTTCCTCAGTAACTATCACATCTCTTCAACTCTGACTCTCATCCTCACTCTAGAGACAACCACTGTGATTTTTCCTCTGTGGAATGAAAAACTATTTGTATAGTATTGAGTTTATCAATATTTTTATTCATGGCTTTCAGGTTTTATGTCATACTTAGGGAGGTCATGTCCACTTCATGGTTATAAGATGGTCTCACATGCTTTCTTCTAGTACTGGGATTATTTTCCCCCTTCATTTAACTCTTTGATCTCCATGGAATTTATTTTGGTGCAAATTATGAGATAACATTAGTACTTATTCTGTGCCAGGATCTATTCTCAATGTATTACATTTAATTGTCATGACAAACCCTAGAGTAAGTACTATTATTATTCTCATTTTAGAATGAGATGAGTGAGCTGAGGCACAGAGTCATACTACAATGGCACCAGAGTTTACTCTGCCAGGATTTGCCTGCAGGCAGTCCAGATTCTATGCTCTTCACCTCTGTGCTTTAATATCTGTTAGGGCTAATCTCCTCTCATTGAAAATTTTCTTGGAGGAATTTCAGATCGTTACTGGAGGGTGTTGGGGTGTGACTAATTAATGCGTCTAGCCCTGTCCTCTGTTTTAGCTATAGATGCATATATCCAAATTTCTGATGAACATGTCTAGTCAGGTGCCACACAGGCAACTCTAACCTATCCCAAACTAAAGAACCATCATTCTCCCCCAAACATGGCCTTTGACCTCCTGTGTTCTCTAATTTGCTTGATGGTTTCACCGTGGTCTCATTCACCCAAGTTCTTCCCACTCCCTCAGCTCTATACCAGTCTAATCACCAAGTCTTACTGGTTTTCCCTTTTTGGCTGTTCCAGGGTCTGGCTCTCTCCCTCCATCCACTGCATTAGACTGGCCCCACCTGCCCACCTCCCGCCCCTGCACCGCAGACTGATGTGTCTGCAAGGTAAAGCTGAGATTGCCATTTCCCTGCTTCATGTTGCCTCTGGAATCAGAAGCTCCTGGGTGTGACTTACAAGGTTCTCTTCTCCCAT